ACTTGTGAAAAGGAGACCGCTGGGACCTGCAGGTAAGAGATGGGGAAAGCGTGAAAAAGGAGAAATTGGTATCAAGAATAATCACAGAATCACAGAATGGTGGGGTTGGAAGGGACCTCAGGAGATCATCCAGTCCAACCCCCCTGCCAAAGCAGGTTCCCTAATCTGAACACAATATTTTTAAGGATCCTTTAAAAACCTTCTTCCTAAACTTTTTTATTTTTTCTACATTTATCTTCAATTTCAAAACGCAGGAGCAAGACTGATCCCAACTGAAAAGCAGTTTGACGTCCAACAGCTCCAGCGTTTAAAGCTGCGGATGCGCTGTGTAGGGAGCAGCCCGTGTAGCTGCCTCCTCTCTCACTATAACGTTTCTGAAACTATTTGATCCGACATCAAACCATAGAGTTTTGTTCCTTAAATAGCCCGGCATCCCTCGCTCTGACAGTGTGGCTTCTGCTGATCAAAAGCCAGCAAAGATCCTGGTTGCGGAGCTGCTGGATTCATCCCTCTCCTTTCCTTTTGTCTTTCTTCCTCTTCCCCAGTCCCTGCCCTACGTTGATATCAAACGTTGCTGCAGACTAATTAGGGCTTTGTCAGGTTTGATGCAGAAAAAGCTGAGAAAATACAAAGAAAGCTGAGGGAAGCACCCCTAGTGAAGAGATCAGAGGGAGCATGTGCTGGGTGTTCTGGTGGTGATGGAAAGAGCTGTGATGTCCAGCATCTGTGTACTCGTTTGGCATCAAGGGATGGAGGATCTCCACCACCCCTGCACCAGATAGCCCAGCACACAGCGACAACCAGTCCAGTTTTCCAAGGGAAAAGCTCAAATCCCCTGTCCTAGGATGGAGTAGCCAGTGATTCCCATCTCTGGTGTTCCCCAAGTTGCTCAGCATTAACCTAGTCAAGTCCTGGAGACTAATGGTGGGGAGATAAGCAGGTACCAATCAGTCCTGTGATAGGGGGGCACAAATGCAACACAAGAAGGTATAAAACTCTAGTTCATGGCTATGATGTGCAGTACCTCACCCAGGGGAGGGTGAGGGAAGGCACAACAGCAAAGATCTGACAACCTTTCCAGCCTGGGCTCTCCATGTAACGGTGCAGACAGCTCTGTCGTGTATTTTCCGAGATGTGTGGAGTTTAGGTTATGGGTTTGTACTTGTTCTCCATCATGCTTCTTTCTCAACTAACAGTGCTGTCTTTCTCACAGGAAATTGTCACCATTGTGGTGTTTGGGGTTGAATACTTTGTGAGGATCTGGGCAGCCGGCTGCTGCTGTCGATACCGGGGCTGGAGGGGAAGGTTAAAATTTGCCCGCAAGCCTTTCTGCGTCATCGGTAAGACCTACCTCTCTGCATGGGATTTCCCAAACCAAAATGGTTATTGCAAGCACTTGCTTGCATGGTGCTCTGGTTTCTGGCATGTATTTTGAGGGTTGATCCTCAGCTGCTTCACGGTCACCTTGAGAAGCAAAAAACCCCACAAGGACAAAAGTCCTAATCCATGGACATGGTTTCCATTATTCTGCACAAGGCTCATTCTTTTTCTGCAGACCTGGGAACCATCTCACTCTGGGTACCCTGGGCATCACTGGCAGCCACCCACAGCCACAGAAAGGGGGTTTAGCTGGGAGAAGCTGAGTGTAGGAGCTGGGATGCTGTGGTCCTATGTCCAACCTCAACACCAAATTGCTCACAAGCCATTGAAGATCTGTGTCTCACTTTGCCATCCCTGGTGCTGATGAGCTGCCTCGCAAGGGAGTTATGAGACTTAATTAATTCTTGTTTGTAAAGTACTCAGCGATCCCTTTGTGGAAGGGGCCATCTGTGCACAGCAGTTATTTTTAACGGGGTAAGGAGTGGGCAGAGAGGCCGTGCCATTCTCCATGGAGCCTGCTTTCAAACATGACAGTGGTCACATGCAGGATTTTAGGTTATTCCACAGAAAAGCCCTCCTATAAAATTTCTATAGAAAACCAGGGAAGAGGGAGGTTTTTAGGATCCTCAAATTTGCACTATATAGAGCAAGATCTTTTTCTTTGTCCATGAGCACCCTAGGGTGTGGTGGACCTCTAGGTTTTCATGCCTGATTTAGATGAGGGAGTTCACACCTCTGGACAGCACTGTGTAACATGCAGCTGCAGATGATCCTGCATTTTTCAAGGATTTAATCCAGTTTAGCAGTGGTGCCACTGAATCATATCAGAATTCAGGCTTTGCAGTATTTGGCACATTTTCTGTGGGAAGGATGAGTGTGGAGAAGGAAACTAGGATGTTTCCATAAGGTCTGTAGTGGCTCCTTCATCCAGGTTAAGATTTCTGCTGTGACCTTCCAGCACAAGAGACAAGTAATACAAGACTCCCTTTACACACAGTCTTCTGCTGCCAGTGGCAGTAGGGGTACCATCCTATTTGGTAGAGGTTCTTCAGCTTTCAATGTCCTCTGTTCATGCAGACATCATGGTGCTGATCGCGTCCATCGCCGTGTTGGCAGCGGGGTCCCAAGGGAATGTCTTTGCCACCTCGGCGCTCAGGAGTTTGAGGTTCCTGCAGATCCTGCGCATGATCCGTATGGACCGGCGGGGTGGCACCTGGAAGCTTCTGGGCTCTGTGGTCTATGCACACAGTAAGGTGAGCAAGCCCCAAGCAATTATATTGAGTCATTCTTCATGTTTTTCCCCACCAGAGACACTGCTTTGGTTCAGTTCTCTATCCCAAACATCTCCCAGGCTTGGGGAGATTGGAAAGTCAGTGCAGAGTAGCACAGGGAGCAATGCAAAGTCAGAGACACAAGATCTGATGGAGTTCTTCAACCAGTAGAGGAGAGAAGGGAGAGATGTTTAGATGTTTGTAGGGAATATCTTGAACATACTAAGTACCTGCACATTGATACAGCTCACTTCAAAGAGAGCAATTAGCCAGCAGCCTCGTTAAGCACAGGTAGAGTTGTGAGCACTTTGTCTAGGATGCGTGCTTCCAAGTGGATGAGTTTCTGGAAGTGCATCCTGTGAGCAGCATCTCAAAGATGTGATTACTGTGCCAGGTTCTCCCTCTCAATGTAAGATCACGGACCAGTTGTAGAACCGATCCCTGGCATAAGGCACCTTGGTCTGCCTTTGCTTTGGGAAGAGTTTGCTAATCATTTTTTGTTCCCTGCTGCCATATTTATGAATTTAACATTTCTCCTGTTTCCTGCATTTTTTTTCCTCCTGAAAAGCTCAGCCAGCCTATCCAGAACCGTGTAAAAATCACAGGGAATTCAAGGGTCTCTTTTATCCTCCCTTGTATTGACTCTCTCCAAAAGCAATCACTCCTGTGAATTCTGAATTAAACTTCTCTGAAACTGGGGGATACTGTAGACAGACTCCAGTTTCATAGCTCCTCCTCGTTTAGTGGAAGGGACCTGCCATAAACAGAGTCCCCAGGGATTTTGGGGTTCCCATTTCAGTTTTAACCCCACTTCCCTGTCTGAACTGGGGAAATACTATATATATATATATATATTTTTTTTTTTTTATGGTTTTTATAGTCTCAGTTCCACATCTTGAAATAAGTTATTAACGCTCCCTTTCCTTCTCCATTTGCTGTATGTGTTTAGATGATGGGGTCTTCAGGATGGGGATCACCCTGCGTGCATGGCAGGGCCACCACCAATACATGGTCCCATCTTAAAAAGTGCTACTAATAGTCTCCAACCAAAGCCCCAAAGCCTAAACAAATGTAGAGAAAGTTCAGATCCAACCACAAGCAAGTAACTTGGCTTTTGAAGATGTGCACCAGGATTGCAGTTATTCTCTTCTATCCCTTAATGATCTTGCAGGAGCTGATTACTGCCTGGTATATTGGCTTCCTGTGCCTCATTCTGGCCTCTTTCCTGGTATACTTGGCTGAGAAAGGAGAAAATGAGCACTTTGATACGTACGCAGATGCACTCTGGTGGGGTCTGGTAAGTAATTTTTCTTGAACAGCTGCTGGTTGTTAAAATAAGATGTCCATTAACCCTCCCTCTTCTCTTGCTTATATGAGGAATTGACTTTTGGAGTGCTTAGTTAACATTTTTATTAAATGGCTTCAGGCTACTCCATTTAGCTCTTTTTCTTAAATAAACCTTGTAGAAAATATTAGGGGTTCCCATGCCTTGAATTAGCAGGAAAAACAAGGAAAATGGGAACTTGTGTGCTCTCAGTTGTGGGATTTAACTCTGTTGCAACAGTAGAGGCAGGTTGGATAAAAACCCCATGTTATGGGGTGCTTTGATCATCATTTTGACAAGTGTTTTGCCACCTTTTAATTATTTAAAATAGTACTTGGACAATGAGCTGTTACAGACTCTGGAATACATTTTATGAAATTAATAGGGTCTCAGTACCAGAAGGACTTCAGGGCTGAAAGTTCTCCCCTCTCACATCTTTGCTGACAAAGGAGGAAAGGGCAATACTTTTAGTTTACTCTGTGTGTGCATGTGCATGTCAATTATTGGATTACCCGATTAACAGAGAGAATTAATGACGTTCTAATCTTCTTGTGTTATTGTTCTTCTGCTCCAACACTGTGGTGCACTAGTTTGGCCTTGATTACAAAGCATGTAATGAAAATCCAAGATCTGATCAAATCCCAATAATAGGCTTGGGGAGGAATTGGCTGATCAAGCAACTCCTCTGTTCCAACAAAGGAAAAAAAAACAGTAAATTGCTTTTCAAGCACCTTGGTTATGAGAGAAAAATAAAAACAAAGCCCAATTTGACTTAATTAGAAAATAAACAATGAGGCAAAAAGTGACAGCACAGAATAGGGCTCAGTCTCTGGAGAACTAAGTGTAGATTTATCCCTCCTGCTTCCCAGGCTGAGAACGCCTTTGGCAGAGGATCATCTCCCCATTTCAGGATGTGGAGGTGCACCAGACTTTTTCCACTGAGAAGCTCAGAGTAAAATATGAGCTTCATTAAAATAAACAGGTTTTGTCATTGTCCAACACATGGGTCCAGTACAGATAGATGTTAAGAAAGAGGCAAAATAAATCAAATTTCAGGTTCAGAAACTCATCCCTTGGTCTGATCATCATGGATCCAATCCTTGTAGTTGTCTATATGAACTATGAAAAATTTGTAAACCAACTTTGCAGTGATTATAGAGAGAGCATTGCTTCGACTTTGTGTTTCATTAAGGAATAGCCATGTAGATGCATTTTCTAACCACTTTTTTTTTTTCCAAATGGCATCTAATTGATAGGGCTTTTAGTGGGTCCAATTAAACACCTCTTTGGGATTGTACTTCCATTTGTGTGAAAGTGATTTTATTCTGAGTTAAATGTGTGAGGTTTCCAAAGCCACATCAGTATGATGTTGGCTCCCATCCTTAAGGCCAGCTCTGTCCGTGGAGGCTATGGGATGGGGACAACATTCCACCTGGCCCAGGGACTGCTGGGGTTCAGTGGACAGAAATCTCAGATGTTCCTAATTAGATCATCTCTCCCTGCCTTGCCCTACCAGTCCCAGGCTCTCCAAATCCTCTCAGAAGCCTTGGGGAATACACAACACTTCCCACTAGTGAAGTCCATGGACTGAAGTGGGAAAATGTGTCTTTTCCTGCAGTTTGGAGTTCAGGAGATTCTCTGACTCCAACTAATGTCAGCTCCTTCCCCAAAACACCCGCAGAGGCTTGCCAGCACTCTCCTGGTGCATTGCAATAGTAATAATGAAGAAGAAAACTCATCTCTAAATGAGGTTGTATGAAGCAGCCATAATTCATCCTGTTGGGCTCATGGGCTGTTTTTAAATAGGAAGGGAGATGTGCTGAATAGGCACTGCTGGTGAGGAACAAACAGCATCAGATCTTCATGCATGGAAATAGCCCTGCTGCCTTTCCTGAGATGCTGAAAGGGAGTTTGGGGAAACTGCTGGTTTCCTTCCCCTGCTGAAGGTACAATCCCATCTCCCGGGGGAGGCTCCGAGCTGCCGCAAGCCTCTGCACCAGATGGCAGCTCTCTCTGTGTCGGCTGAAGGCACGAAAATGCTCCTGACTGGTGTGAAAACTCAGCTCGTCGAGCAGGGAGGGTGTCAGGGCATCGCTGATTCCCATGGCAGTGCCCATCCCAAGGAACCAGGTGTCCTCCTGGGGGCCCAAGCTCCACCTCAACTGGGTTGGCTGCCCAAGCTCCACCTCCCCATGTCCCAGTCGGATGTTGTAGGAGTTTTGGCCCTGTTGTTTTAGTTTTAAGGCTGTCTGTCTGACCAAGGGCTGTGTGGTTGTTTCCTCCTTGCAGATTACTCTCACCACCATCGGCTACGGGGACAAGTACCCACAGACCTGGAACGGGCGGCTGCTGGCAGCTACGTTCACACTCATCGGCGTCTCCTTCTTCGCCCTTCCTGCCGTAAGCAGAGCCTGCAGCGTCTTGCTGGGAGGGGGGCTGAGCTCTGCCATCACTTTGTCCCTGGCCCCTGGAGCTGGTGGCAACAGCAGCATGATGAATCCAGTTCTGGGGCCCAAAACATAAGAAGTGCATGGACCTACTGGAACCAGTCCAGAGGAGGCCACGAGGATGATGTGAGGGCTGGAGCAGCTCTGCTGTGAGGACAGGCTGAGAGAGTTGGGGCTGTTCAGCCTGGAGAAGAGAAGGCTCTGGGGAGACCTTCCAGCAGCCTCCCAGTACCTGAAGGGGCTCCAGGAAGGCTGGAGAGGGACTTTGGACAAGGACAGGGAGTGACAGAACAAGGGGTGATGGCTTGAAACTAGAGGAGAGGAGATTGAGATGAGATCTGAGGAAGAAATTCTTTCCTATGAGGGTGGTGAGACGTTGGCCCAGGTTGCCCAGAGAAGCTGTGGCTGCTCCTCCCTGGAAGTGTTCAAGGCCAGGTTGGATGAGGCTTTGAGCAACCTGGTCTAGTGGAAGGTGTCCCTGCTGATGGATGATCTTTAAGGTCCCTTCCAACCCAAACTATTCTGTGGTGTGCCCAGATATCTCCCAACTGTGACTGCTCTGTGGCTTTTGAGTAAAAAAACAAAAAAAAAAAAAAGGAAAGGAGGAAAAACCCCGTCTGAATATCCCCAGCTCGGGCACTCAGCATGTGAACTAACAGAACAGAGACTCTAGATTTGGCTCTGCACAAATATTCATCAAAGTGAAACCATTTTTTTCTTACAAAGGGCTGTTCCTGGGGGTGATTGCACCATTTCAGCAAATCACCCCCCGTCCCTTTCACAGTTCATTTCAGTGTTGTGTGGATCTGATTTGCCCCTATGGGGATAATTTACTGAATGCCAACAAGATGTGCTTATTTTTTATTTTATCTGCTGACTGGAAGTCGTTGGGTAAAAGCAGCAATTCCAGTGAGTTCCTGGAAAGTCTGATGGCCCTTCATGGGGAGTGTGTCTGCCAGGCCTGCCCTGGATGGAGGCTTCTCCTTCCTTCCCTTCTACATTTCAAGGAAAAAATGAGCCAGAGTAGACTTTTGGAGGGAAAACTGACTGCAACTTTTTAGTGCAAATTTAGCTCTAGAAGCCTTGCTCACTTCAAATTTTCCTTCTCTTCTCCAGGGCATCTTGGGTTCGGGGTTTGCCCTGAAGGTTCAAGAGCAGCATCGACAAAAACACTTTGAGAAGAGGCGAAACCCAGCAGCTGGCTTGATTCAGGTGAGGATCACATCCAAGGAACCTTGGGGTGGTTACATCATCCTGATTTTGGTGGGATTCATAGAGTTTTAGAAGTAGAGGGGGAGACAGGCAGGTGAAAAATGGAGCTGTGTGTGTAAGGTGTGAGACAGCAGCTGGTGACTGGTCTTGTCTGGGAATAAATGCCAGGAAATCAGCCATGGGAAAATAACATATGTGGTAGGCAATCTGGGGGAGAAAAGGAATGAAATCCAGCCCAGTGCAGCAAGACAAATGCATGAGGACAGTCTGTTTTCACCAAAGAGGATTTTTTTTCCCCCCAAAGAGAATATTTATACCGATATAAAGTTACAATTGGGAGCATTTTCTTCACGATAACAGATGTCTGCGCAGAAGGTTGGCCTTGGTGATTTGAAATTAGTCATTTGACATTCCCCTGCTCCTCTCTCTCCAAATTTTTTAACTCCCTCATGTGCAACAACACCTGTTTGATATCTGACCTCACCCTGACAGCAAGTGCCTGGTACCCACACCACTTTTAGCTGGGTTGACATGGTCAGGAGTATCGTGATACCACCCTAAATTTGTCATGTATCAAATAAAAAAAGACAAAGTTGGACCCATTCCACAGAAAACAGAGGGAAGACTCAGTGTAGGCTGAGGTTTGTAAAACCAAGGAGGGTAGTGCTGGTCATGCCTGGGTCCATCATCCCACCATGTCTCCTCCACAGGCGGCTTGGAGATTTTATGCCACCAACTTGTCCCGGACAGACCTACACTCCACCTGGCAGTACTATGAACGCACCGTCACTGTCCCCATGTACAGGTACCTCCTCCTCAACCTCCCTCTTCCACTGACTTCCTTGTGATGCCACTGTCTCCATATTTATTTTTTGTTATCTGGATATATAGTTTTGTTTGTTTATTTCCTTTTTCTAAGTTGAAAGTTGATTTCAAGAGCTCTTAAGGGCTGGTATTTGCTTTTTCTTTTGGAGTTTTGTTTTTGCTTTTTTTGTGTGTTTCTTTTTGACTTGATTTTAATTTCTCTGTTGGTTTTTTTTTGTGTGTGTGTCTGTATGTGTATGTGCTCTTTTTTTCACTTTTATTTCTCCACGTCCACTGGTAGTTGCGTTGTGTTGTGACAGTTGCCGTGTCCAGGTGTGAAGATCTCCTTCTTGAGCTGCCCTGGATCGTAGGTAAATGCCACCCTCCTTGTGCCCTTGCTTGGGCTCTCCTTGCTACTCCAGCTGGTCTCTAATGGTCCTTCTGCCTTTAGCAAACTTCTGTCCTTCCCTTGACTGGTCCAGCGCTCTCCCCAGGTTCATTTGCCTTGGGTCCCACTTTCCTTTCCCTTTTTTTTCCCTCTAAGAGGAGGAAAACCAAATCAGGATTCAGTGAGCATTTCCCCATTTCATTTATCCATCACGATCTGTTGAAAGGAGTAGGGAATGATGGTAGAGCCGTGATGGATGATGCTGATAAAGCATTGCTGTGTTTAAGCAGCATCCATCTGACTTCCTTTAAGGAGAAGTAACTCATCGTCATACCCAGGCAGCTTTTTCAGCTGAAACAATGTGGCTTAAATCAGTGCTGTGGGAATTCACAGCCTCTTGGGATTTGGAGCTTCATGGAGATGGGGACAGAGTCCCCTGTCATGCTGGGATGTGGGGAAGCACTTCAACCCCCGTGTCACTCTCAGGGTTGGTGGTATCAAGGAGGAAACTTCCTCAGAAGCTAAAATGCAAAGTGTTGTCCTTGATTTTATAGTGCAGTGCATCCCCTTCTGGTGTGTTTTTAGGGCTTAGCCAGATCTCCCTGGGTTTGTACAGGAGTTGGATATGTTGGTTAGATATTCCCATAGCTTCCTGGGGCTCCCTGTGCCCTATTTCCCTGCTCCCAAGCAGGGCTGTGGTCCAGCACCGGGTTGTGCCACTGCAGATGTGAATCCCTTTGTGTTTTATCATGTCACTGGTGCCTTTGAGCCCTTGGGCAGACAATCTGGATGTATTTCCTAGGGTAAGCATTAGCCTGTATTTGAAACAGCAACCAGCTTGTTCAACCATCTTAAAAACCTGTTGGAAGTCACGTTGTCATGGTCAGTAAGTTTTCATTGGATTCATTCCCAGTGTGTGTCTGGTTACTTTTTCCCTAGAGATTTACGAAAAAACTTGAAGATTTTGCTTAAAAAAAAAAACCCATCCCCAGATCAACAACCCAACAAAACTGTTTTCCAATAGCATTAAACCCACCCAACATCAAAACTCTCCCTCCCAGTATTTGACCTTCTCGCTGGATATTTGCAGCACTGGCTGAGATCAGCTACTGGAGAGGATGAGGACTGGAGCCTGGTCCAAAGTCCACTGAAAAGCGTGGAAAGCCAGGGCTGATTTCAGTGGACTTTGTCAGGTTTTACTGCTGTTTGAAAGACTGAACTTACCATGCAGCCAGACATGCAGTGACACCCTTTTGAATGAGGACACATGGGGGTAACTTCTACTTAATCCACTTGTTTAAACCTGTATTTCCCATGGAGCTAATACATGGAAGAAAACCAAGCTAAAGAGCTCTAGGAGAGGCTAAATAAAAACTTTGGGGAGGAAAAAGAGAAAAAAAGAAACAAACCCATTTAGTGAAGACCTCAGCTGTCTTGAATAAAAAGGCTGGAGAAATTTGTAGCAGGGTCATAGCAGTTTTGCTGGCTGGTGCTGTGGGTGCTGGTCCCAACACTGGCCCCAAGTAGCAACATCACCCTGGGCTTCCCTGGATGCAGGTTTGTGCTCTCCCAGCTTCACCCTTAAATCCCAGGTGAAGTGAACATCATCTTAGAGAGTGAGCTGCGGGTGCACCAAAGGATTCAGCTCTTAGTCAAATTGGATTTTTTACCAAGAAAGCAGTAAGCTTATTTTGAATTTATTTTGGATGCAATCAGATAAATTAATTGGTTTTTTTTAAAAAAAGAAGGGTGTAGTTATATGTTCTGGCTGCAGCTTCCATCATTCACACTGTCCATCTCTCCTCGTCTACCCACTTCACTAAGCCAGCTGGCAGCCCTGTGGCTGAAACCCACAACCTGGTTAGGAAATGGGTTGGAGGAACACAATGTCCCCTTGTCTGTGGATGCCTGGGGGATGATCTGCAGTCACCTCTACCTTGGCACCCTTTCTGCTCAACGTTGGGCTGTTTATTCCTCATAGTAGGAGCCCTGTGACTTGAGCTTACCTGTCTTCCCAAGGCATCTCCAAAAAGACTTGTTGCTCGATGTGAGAAAATTGTTACACATGCCTTGGAGGAGTTGACATGTCTCTAGAACATCATTCAAATCACTGCAGTAGAGCTAATCTCACTTGTTTGGGGAAAATGTGGTGATCTCTGAGAGAATCTCAGATTTCACCTTTAAATTCAAAATGTGGTAGAACCAAATCTGAAATTTGCATGAAGCTCCTGTACATGCAGGTATGATTTGTAATGCATGCATAGCTTGGGGCACCCAGACATCGAAACCTGTTATGCATCAGCCACTGAATTTGCTGAAAAAAATCTGCTCTTTGTCACTCATGAAAACAACACCTTGATCTCATCTATGTTCATATATTGGTCTTAAAAAAGAGCCATCAGCACATCATGCCCAAGTCAGCAACTCAGTCCTAGGAGTCCCTGGCTGATGGGACCAAGAGCTGTGAGTGTCTCATGAAAGTTCTCTCAGAAGCCCCCACATTTTCCCTGCTCTGTGGTGCCCATTTGCTTTTGGAGCAAGGTACCAGCTGCCTGTCCCCAAGGGTGACATGGGCACACAGTAGTTTCTGAGCCAGCTGTGGTGGGAGTGAGCTCAGCCCATGCTCCTGTGCTCACCTGGAAGCCTGGTCACAGCGCATCTGCTCCTGGGGATACAATTTTTTCATATGCTAATTTTCTTTATTCTGTTTCTTTTCCCCTTTCCTTCACCCCACCTTCTCCTCCACCCCACCCCGTTTTTCTTTCTCTTATCCTTTTGATTTTCTTTGGTGAAAACACTTGAAAAGCACGCAAACGCAAACGTACGGTGCCTCCAGGTATGAAGTGCATGTGACTTTGAAACTCTGTGTCATGTCACTCCTTGTTCTTTGTTTGGGACTGTAACATGGAAACCCTTTAATTAATTAAAAAAAACCCAAAACAAAACAACACAACCTCTGAAGATGAGTTTTTTCAGAGGAACAAGTGAAAGCCCAAACCAGGCTCCCCATCCTGCTGCCTGCAGACTAACTCAACTCCATGCACCTCCATGTACACTTTAGCTATTGGTACACACAAGTTTTGGGAACCTGTCTGCCAAAATGACAATTTAAGGAAGGAGAATGGGAGAGTGCTTAATAAGTTTGGTTTTTTAAGGGTGATTTTTTGATGGTCTTACCAACCTCCTCCAATTCATACAATGCTTAACAAGAAAACTTCCCTGTTCATGTTTCCATTCTCTCTCCGCCATCACTCCTGTGTGTTCCCCTTTCTCCAGCCCTATTTTCCCATCCTCCATTGTACCTTTGTCTCACTTCATGTTGGAGGAGCTGTGCCCACCAGGTAACACTAAATTTGCTGAGTTTTCTGGTGTGGTGGCACCATGGGACATATCAGTGGTAGCATGGAATGAAATCCCAGTAGCAACATCTGGAGGGAAGAGATATCTGGAATGCTGAACTGAAAGTCAAGCATTGGAACAGGCTGCCCAGGGAGGTGGTGGAGTCACCTTTCCTGGTGGGATTTAACAGATGGGCTGATGAGGTTCTGAGGGACATGGGTTAGAGGTGGAATTGGTGGTGTTGGGTTTATGGTTGGACTCAATGATCTTAAAGGTCTTTCCCAACCACTGTGATCCTGTGGTTCTATGATTCTAAATGAACATTCATTTCTTCTACTAAATCCAGTCTATGAATTACAAGTATAATATTACGAATGCATGTTGTTGTTGTCCGGAACAGGGTTTTTTGAGAATCAAATATTTTTCTACTGCTGGAAGTGAAATAAGCATGTGCTGCTTCCATTTTTTTAATAATGTTTTATAAGTTTCATAAATGTTTTCAATTATGAAAAATAGCTTAGGCTGGAGACTTAAAGTCATGGTTAGGGTAATAATTGGCTCCTCACAAGAACTCCACCACAGCATGGAGACTCATTTAAGTCCCTATCCCCTTCCAGCATCCATCTCCTTGTCACCTTCTTCCTAATCATTCATACTGGGGCTGTTAAAAAAACCCAAAACCATCATCTGTGTGTGTGTGTGTCGTGGTGTGTGCTCCCACCCACTGTTGTGTGCTGCTGCCTTCCTCATGTTGTGGGGTTTTGATGATGTCCTGGCTGGAGGCATGATATCCCTACTGTCCCCAGATGCTTGAACGTTATCTGTGCTACCAGGAACAGTAGATTTGCCTTTTCTTTGGATGGGGGAGCTGGCACTTGGAGTTAGTGTGGTGTTTCTCTGCTGTACTGGGAGGGGTGATGGGAAGGAGCTGTAGGTACTACTGGGTCCCCTCTAGAAGCTGGTGACTCAGAAACATTGCTGTGGTGGGTAGCATGAGCTGTGTGTGTTCCCGTGGCGTGCAGATCTCACCTAGCTTCCCTTTAACTGAAATGTGCTTCCCTTGCTAACAAGTGACACACGGACCAGGAGGAGAGAGAGAAAACACGAGATGCCCCAGCCGGAGTTTTTCTCCACATCTCTGGAGGACACAGTGGCACCTATGTCACCTGTCCTGTGTGCAGGGTGCCCTCCATCCAGCATTTTATAGCAAAGCTCAGTTAAAGTGCTAAGCAGAGCCTTTGATGTTTTGGTGACATACAGTAGTTGTTCCCCGAGCTGCTCTCGTAATGACGGGTTGGGCTGAGCATTCAATTCAGATTAAAATCCAGGTCAAGTACATGGATGATTTTATACCCATTTTTAATAATTAGTGTTTTAGTAAAATATTGTTTTTTTTCCACCACAAATGTATGAGACCCACCACCCTACCACAGAAACAGTGAATTTCTGTGTCTGCTTGTGTCTTTACTTTTGTAAGGAAGCTTCTGTGATGGCCCAAGAGATTGCCACCATCAGCACAGTGTAGACCTTGTGTTAGGGACTAATGCAAAGGAAGGAGCAACTTGGGGGATCCCAAATCCTTCAAACTAGTGAGTTAACAAGCTCTTCAGCTCTGAGACTTGCATCAGTGGGAGCCCTGGATTTGCTAATCCCGCTGGAGAAAGTGGGGCTGTTGTCCTATGTTCTGCTGGGTATGGACCTCCCCTAGTAACCAACTCACCAAGGAGCAGTTGTGCACCCTTCATTAACTGCTAAATACACTTTGTGCTTGATTTTATACACTGCCTTCTCCCATCTTGGAATGAATTTGCAAACCCTACGGTGGGTTTGAAAGGAGATGACAGCCCAGCACTCATGCACTGCTTCACTGCACCAAGATCAGCTTCTTCCTGATATCTTGAGTGAAAAGGATCATTAATTCATCAGATCAGGATGTGTTTTTCTCTGGATGGAGAGAGAAACAGAGCTGGACTGGGGAGCTGAGCCAAAATTTTCAAGCCTATTTTTATTCTTTTCTCCATACTTAGGATTGGAGAATTTTCTGATTGCCTCAATCTTGAGGACAACAGATCTGCTCTGCAGAAAACCTGTTTTTGAGGATGAGTTCTGTGCATGCAGAGAGGCTTTTCCAGTTGTGGGATTTTTATTATTATTTTTTTCAGTTAGGGGAAAACTCTGAAGCTATTGGTCTCATAATGGCTGAAAAAATATGGGCATGAATATCTCTGCCTTTATTTTACAATAAGCAACAACCCCATTTCTCGCAGCACCTCAGCCAAGACCAGTCTGTCTTCTCCTTCATCCCTGCAATGATACATCCTCCTACTCACTTGTCACAAGTGTGACCGGAGGTTGCTGCTCTGCTCATTCTCACCCTTTGGGCACAGTCATGGCATGCGGCACTTGGACAATTTGACAAGGTCATGCTGGTGGCCCAGAAAGGAGTTTGCAGCAAGCCATGGGATGAGCCCCATTGGCCTTGACCCTAAATGCAGGATCCCCAAGTGCATTCTTAAGTAGATGCTTCCTAACCACGTGCAGCATTCTCCATCCTTCCCCAGACACCTCCAGCTCACATCTCTCTTGGATGAAAACCTGACTGTGCATATCAACATTAAATATTTATGGAGTAAGCCCCAGTCTCCCAGAGTCTAAGGGAAGAAAGTAAAAGTGGATGTGAGAGCTAATTTAATGGTTTTTAGCACAAAAGCAGGATAAGGAACAGGGTGGTTGTTGGTGTTTTTTGAATTATTAACCAGGATTCCTGTTGTCAGGTTCTTTTTCTTCCTGAGAAAGAAAGGAAAGCCATGCTTCCTTCCTGATCCAGAAGGCAACGATACATGATTTTGCCTCATTTTGGGGCAAAACCTGGTATAGACAGTAGGGAATTGGCTGAACTTGATCCTGGTGTGCACCGTTTTTTGTCCTGGGATGGTCTCAGCCTCAGGTCCCTGTTTTCTCTGTCCCATAAGCTGCTCCTTCCCATGTCCCCACATATTCCTGAGAGCACCAGGGTTGAGTTTTCCCATTTGCCTACAAAACTGGAGCTTCTGTCCACTTCATACACAGCCAAAGTGCTGATCTCCAGGCAAAGCAATGCCAACCACTAGACTACAGGTGGTGAAGCAGGTCTCCTGCCAAGACACCTCTATGCTGCTCAGAAACCCTTGCAGCCACTTGTTTTCTGGGAGGTTCAAAATCCGGTGGTGCAGACAAGTTTCTCTCTCTCTCTTGCTGTCACACCCTCTCTCTTTCCCCACCGCTCTGCCTTAGGACACTGTTGGGAATAGCAGCCAAACCCTTCTCCATCCTTCTTGAGTTTCCCCCCAGTTGCAGTTGGTGGCACAAAGCTGGTTCTAGTTGAAGGGATGGGGCAGTGGGGGGAATTTCCAAGACAGGAGGCTCTGAAATCAACTCTGCCTGAATATTAATGGTCTTTCTTTTCTCCCTTTAGACTCATCCCTCCTCTGAACCAGCTGGAGCTCCTGAGGAACCTGAAGAGCAAATCAGGACTGACATTCAGGTTAGCAATAGAGTTGAGAGCTCAGAATGCACACACTTTACAATTTTTTTGTTTTCATTTTTTATTTTGGGTTTTTTCCTTCCTGCCTTTTGTATATGGACAGCTTTGAAGACGTGAGAGGTTTTGGCAGCTGGTCCCTCATGAGTCGTTCAGTGACCTCCTCCCCATCCCTCTCCCATGCTGTACATGAATTTCTTCAGCCCAACTTGACTGTGGAGTAATATTACAGTGCTTGGCTGAAAATGCAGTTGTATTTTCAAAGGGTTTGGTCAAGGTAGCGTTTCCAGTTTTCCTCTGCCCTTTGGGCTCTTCATCACCCTCAGAGGAGACTCAGGCCCATGATGTGTTAATTCATTCCCTGTTGCTTCCAGTTTTCCCTTGCTTCCCCCAAGAGCAGGCAAGGTCATAGTGGTGAGAAGTCTTTGAATTTGCTGTGGTGAGGTATACATGATCACCTCAGAAGACCAGGAGGGGTCGTTCATGGTTTTTTAAGGAGGTGAGGCTGCCCTGTTTGGAGAATGGGAGGTGTGCAGACCCCAGGAGGGATGGAGAGGAGATGCTGGCCATGCTAGTGGGCATCGGGGCCAACTGGAGGGGTGTGGGATGGGACCTGCCCTGGGCTCTGTGTCTCTACAGAGAGTAGAGATCTGTAGATCCATGAGTCAGACTGCAAACTTTCAAATGTGAGTATCTGAGCTAGTGACTGAGGCTGGGCTTCACAACTTGTCTGAGCAAGGAGCAGAGGGTTGGAGGGGCATTTTAAAAGTCTCTCCAGGCTGCTGCCCTCAACCTAAGGGAGAGGGATTGGGGTTCTGCACACATCTCGCTTGGAGGTAGGGCCAGGGCTCAGAGGGAATTGAGCTTCTCCTGCCCAGGTCTTCTCATGGTCCAGTTTGTCCCTTAGACTGTCTAGTGCTATGGGAGGTAGACCCTTATCTGCTGAAAAATGGAGTCCTGCTCCCTGTCTTGTGGGGCTGCAGGGGCCAGGCTGCTTTGGGGGCCCAGATTAAATGTGATTACCCAGTGTGAAGAACCTGTGACTCAGAGTAATTGAAGGCAGAGGAGGTTTTCCTCTCATTGCTGGAGGAAAATGCCACCAAGATGCCTGGTCAGTGAAGGTGAGGTATATTTTTTTTTTATTGTGGCCTTAGCTTGGCTTGTTGTGTCATGCCTGACCTTTTGCAGGTGTTCAATTCACTCTGTCCTTGAGGTCAATGATTTTTCAGGGTGACCAAGTGGTTTAGGATCTCAGTAGGAAATTGCATACAAAAATTGTGGCTTCCTGCTCCCTCTATGTAGCCTTTGCCAACTACTTTGGCAAAGCAGCTGCCAAAGGCTTTGGAGGCAGAAGTCCCACCTGGGGTATCAGGATGTCAGGGCAGGGGTCCATACTCCTCCCCACCAATTTCCATCTCCAACCACCACGTGTTAGCACTGCAGGGTGAAAGCATCCATTGAAGATTTGACATTAGCTCTGTCCTAATGGCCAGGAAGGAAAATCAAATACATCATGTTCACGGGAGCTGCTCAAATCCTTCCTGATGTGCAGAAACAACTCCATGTGGTGCATTTCCAGACGAAGGCAGCCACTGTCTGAGCCCACAGAAAGTCCTCCTGTGCTCACACAAATCACACGACTGTCAGGTGTCTCAGTCATGTGTAGGCACAAGGATGGGTTGGGATAAACTCTTTAACCCTGTGCATTGTATGTGTCTTCTCTGAGGTTGTGTGAGTCTCCAGTGATCTTCTGTCCGGGCCAGAAACTCCAGGAATTAAATACACCTTTCCCTTTCTTCTGTCCACAACTTCCACTTAGTTGTATTGTTTGGTATTGTCCTTTCGTTATGTTTTAACAGTGAAGCAACAACATCTTTTGCCACCTGACACCATGCTAATGTACTATTGCTTCTGTTTAAAGGAAAGAGCAGCAGCCTGAACCATCGCCAAGGTCTGTATCGCTGCCCACACGCCATTCCCATGCATTACCTGTAGATTTCTCTGTGTATGTGTGTGTGTGTGTGTGTGTGTGTACAGGTCATGTCGTGGCACCATCGAGAGAAGCATTTTAGGTGTTAACGTGCTTTTTCTGTGCTGTGGCAGTCTGATGTATCTAAGTGTATGCTGGACCTTAAATCATCTCTTCCTTCCAGTCTGCCTCGGGTTGTAGGTGTGAGGATGTGGGGGGTAGAGAGAGCCACGGGCAGAGCTGGAAGCTACTTCTCTGGGGTGACAGTAGGGCTTTGGTTTATGCTTATTTTTTTTGTGTTGCTGAAGTGTTAGCTGAAACAGTATAATGCAGTTTCAACGAGTGCTGGTGGGTAGGTGATGCTTTGCCTATGTCTCCATCACCCAATGCCATGCCAGGCAGAGGTGACATGGGAAGATGAAAGCCATCACCATGTCACCAAGTTCCCTGTGTCTCCATCACCCAATGCCATGCCAGGCAGAGGTGACATGGAAAGATAAAACCATCACCGTATCACCAACTTCTCCTGAGCTCCTCTCGCCACAGGGTACTGCACGGTGCTGCGTGGACCTGCTGCTCCGTGGGATGCAGGAGGGCTCTCTGACATGACACAGCATTGCATGGCAGAGACACCCTTTCCCCACCCCATTCCCTTTGGGCTCACAACCCCTGGATGAAGCACAGTTCCTGCTCCGTCTTCCCTCCACGCCTTGAGTCCACTGTGCAGAGCGTGCTTGGCCGGGCGCCCTCTGAGATGTGGCGAGCACCTTCCAAGGCCAGCTGTAAATCTCACTGACAGGAGAGCTTTTCTACGTTCACATGTCCCAGGGAAAGCAACAGGGCTGGTATTTGGGATGCTTTTAGGCTACTTTTCATCCCCTTAGAAGTGTTTAATTCTTTTTACCTATATTTTCCTAGTTCTTTTAAGAAATAATTCTAGGACTGAGTCTTTTTTTTTTTTTTCTTGAGGGGTAAGATGCAAAACTGATGATATGTGGAGATCATCTGCTTGGCTTTCAGATCTTCCATCACATATCTCAAAACATAGCTTACAGCCTAAATATTGTAAACACTGAATATGTTTTTCAGAAGTATAACTAGAGCCTGGCATTTTGCAGATGTAACTTTCTACTGTGTCTTCTGGATTCTAAGGGGCCAGAAACTCATTTTTCCTTGATATAAAATCCAACCAAAGATCTCTGGGTAGATATGGTGCTGACTAAAGGGAGGAAAATTTCATCCTTCCTGCCTTTTCTTCCCCTTACTCTTTTTTTCTGTCTTTTATTTGAGTTTTATTTGCAAGCAGAACCTCTGTAGCACTCCATCCACTTCCCTGCCAAGTAAATCAAATCACCAAGATCATGTTTCAACTATCCAGAATAATTTTTATTTTTCCTTTCCTACGTTGGGTCTCAGTCTGCTTAGCAAGAATGAAGACATTCTCCATTCAGCTTTATTAAAGCAAGAAGCATTATGTGGGTGGGAATTGCTCTCTGGGAGCAGACCAAGGCTGAAATCTTGGCCACCTGCCCGTGGCATCAGGAGGATCCCAGGGGCCTGGCTCCTCTTCTGTCCTGTCTCAGCCCGTGACATACTTTGGATGCATCAAAGGGTAAATCCACATTTCTCACAAGCATATGACTAAGCAATGAGATAAAATCTCTGTTTAATCCCATCAGTTCCATAGCTGAGGAAATCTGAGGGCTGATGGAACCTGGTAGGGTCATGCCAGCCAGCATGTCTGCAATTGCAGGAGCTAGTCTTATTTCTGAGGTACTAGTCTTATTTCTTATTTTTGATTCTTAGGCTTATCTTGCAGGGTTCATTTTTACCAGTTACAACACTAGGTTGGGTATAATATTTCTTTGTAGACGTTGCAGGTTAACCTGCAGTTAATCATCCCACTATGGTCTGTCACTGATTGACAGTTTCACTTAGAGATTTCCTTGGGATGAACCTTCTTTCATAGCAGACCCCAGCACTGTAATTTTATTGCTTTAGCTGGCAAAGGATTTACTACTTCCCACTTCCATCGATGTAAGGAAACACAGTCTCTCACCTGGGGATAGCTGGATCTTCCTCCTGCTGTAGTTATCTATAGGGAGTGGCTGATTTCCTATATTCCTCTTTCCATGAGTGATATACCACAAAATCCTTACAGCAAACAGAACAGAAATGGCTTTTCCACTGTTTCCCATCTTCATATGTTTTAAGATAGAGAAAGGATGCTGGCACGACTCGTGGGAAGGTGCTGTGCCAGACAAGCATTGCCTTGCAAGGTCCAGGAACATCCCAACCACCCCGCCAGTACATGGGGCAGCTGTCAGGGTCTTGTACTCCAGCTCTGGTGCTGCTGTAGCTGTGTTGATTTCTGCTGAGACAGTGCTTGGAGAGCTGCTGCCTGGGGTGGAATGACATGGGGAGACTATGGGGATAGTGTGGTGGAGGCTTAGGGTCACCTCAAATTACTCAGATGGCTTTTGATTTGGTCTTGGCATAAAAAGGGACAGCTGATCTGAGAGATAGGTTATGTCCTTTCTCCATCACTTCTTTTTTTTTTTTTTTTTCCACCATGAGCTTGTCTGCATCCATCTATGATCGAGTGCTGGGAAGCTGTGTGCTGGCCTGCTGGGGGGTCAGGAACTCACCTCCTTGTGGCACGGACCTCACGCTATGATGAGCAGAAAAGATGCTGGCCTCTTTCTACATGCTATGTGCCTCTGCCCCCTTTTTATTTTCCTCCCTTTTTATAAAAAACTGCTTACAGAGCCTCTTCTGCCCATCGCTTTGGGAGTTGTGTCTACCCTACCATCTGCCTTGGCCAGGAGAAGTGGCCACCTTCTCTGGGCTGGCTGCTGCTGCAGGAGCAGTGAACACCCATCGCACCTCTGAGACCTCTCGTGTGGGGTTCAAATCCGAGTCCTCTCTGCCTCATCACCCCAGGGAAGGAGGGGGGCTCCGTGGTGGGGCTTTTCTCACCCCTCCTGCTGCAGAAAGCCAACAAATCAGGGTGATAACAGGGTTTGATTACCCCCATGTTATTCAGGCTGGGAATGAGCTGTGGCACCTTGTCTCTCTTTATTTTGTCTTCTGATTTTAATGTCAAAAAGACAAATGTACGGTTAGCCAGGGCTATGGAGGCTCCTGTATGAAATGTGTGCTTCAGATGATCTTTAACAGATGGTTTGATCAACATCTGGTGGCATCTGTGACCACATTTGTTCCAAAATGTATTTTTCAAAATATGATTAGGGGGAAATCTTAAAAATTAATGAACTAATGATCATAATAATACATTAGTAGCAGAGAAAAAGAAACAGAAGGATTCCAGGGAACTGGGAAGCTAAAACTCAGATTACTTTGTCCAGCATGAGTTCAGTTCTGTAGATAATGACAGGAACCTCTTTGGAAGGTTGTCCTTGAGCCTAATGAAGTCATCAAGACCTTGGCTATCATATTGAGTGAATGCTGGACTGGGCCACCTTGTAATGTGTATGTATATCTGTGCGTATATCTATATCAATGTATGTATATGTCTGTCTGAGCTACACACCACATTAATATCTCTGTTCAGGGGTGTGATTAAGGCTTTTGTACGCACTGGAGGATGCCTTTGGTTGACTCAGTGGGCCCCTGCTCATCCAGCCCAGGGTGTCCAAGGTGTCACCAACAACTACTGCCCATGGAAACTGGTGTCAATCACAGGAGCCTGATGGGTCTGGGTTGGTGTTTGACCTTCTAACCAGCACAGCTGGTGTCAGAGACTCATGCTGGGACTGATAGTAATCTGGAAATAATCAGTTGCCTTTAGGGGAGCGGATTATTTGCATAGAAGGGACTGCATCTTTCTGTAGTGACTGCAGAGGAGAGTCACCCATGTGTCTCCTTGAGGCTCTGCATGTTGAATATCCCACTCCCATGCTGCAATGCTCAGACCCCAGCTCCAGAACAGCCCTGGTAGCACCACTGGTCCCCAGGGCTCACTGGGGATGTGGGGGTCTCATTGCAGGTACTTAATAAGTCCCCAGGATGGAGAGAGTGGTGCTGGCTGAGCTTGCATGGGATGCCATGAAGCAGAAGGAATTCCTTCAAATTCTTTCTCCGTGTGTGTGCCCATGAGCTCCTCCGATTGCTGAGTTCAAGTGTACAAAGAGATTGGGGGTTTTATGCCCTTCAGCTTTTTCAGTCTGTCCATGAACTCAGCAAGTGTTGCCTGCTGGTGGCCAGATGGGATGATGGGGGCCTCGTTATTACCCTTCTGCAGGTAGAGGGCTGCTCCATGGCGTGGAGAACCCTGGTTGTGGTGGCAATCTGGCAGGGCAGTGCCTGAGCAGTGATTTGGGATGGGCTCACGGGAGCTGTGGTGGTGCCTCAGTAAAGCCAGTAACTCCCCAGCCATTGTAGGGACCTGTCTAAAACGTCTTACAAAAACCAGATGCGTGATCACAGATCTTCAAGTTCCTTCTCGTAAGGGACTGCACCACACTCTGTTTTTATCTTTTTGTTGTTGTTGTTAAATGCCAGGCTTAATATAATGCTATTTCCTGTATGAGAAATGCCAATAATTCACAGATTAACTAGCTCTCTCTGTGAGGGTATTTTTTTGGCAAAAAAAAAAAAAGAAATTTGAGCATTTGGGATGTTGTTGGACAAAACAAGTTAAATTTTTGGCTCTCCATGGCTTAGATAATGGAGGAAAAAAAAGTCATCGTAATCTATTTAGAAGAGAGTACTTTTTGTTTTCAATGCAGATGAAAAAATCTTCCTGCAGGACTCAGTCAATTGTAGATGAACTGACACCACCATTTCAGTGCAGAATGCCTCATTTCTAATAATGAATTTATTGACCACAGTGAGATAAATTTCAGCAACCCTCTTGATTTTTAATTATTTTTTTTTTCCACTTAATGCTCAAACAGAAAAATCCTGTCATGAACCCGGCCCTCAAAACACCTGTCTTTTAAACCTAGAGTCAGTAATCA